TCTAGATCAGTGGTTCTCAACCTTGGCTGCACATTAGAATCACCTGGGAATCTTTTTAAAATCCTGATTTCTGGGCCTCATCCTCCGGAAATTCTGTTTCTTTGTTACTAATGTTGTGGCCCCACCCCATAACAAAGAAACAGAATTTCCAGAGGATGAGGCCCAGAAATCAGGATTTTAAAAAGATTCCCAGGTGATTCTAATGTGCAGCCAAGGTTGAGAACCACTGGCCTAGGGAATAGAGTCAATAATACTTTAGTAACTGTGTGTGCTGCCAGGTGGGTACTGGAAATATGGGGGGGTGGGGAACACTTTTTAGTAACTGTGTGTGCTGCCAGGTGGGTACTGGAAATATCGAGGGGTGGGGAGTATCTGATTGTCTAACCATTGTGCTGTACACCTGAAACTAATCCCAAAAAATACTGAAAAAAAATCTTCTATTTGCGGGACACTTTTTCTACATTTCAAAGAGCCTTAGTCTTTCTGGTCACAAAAATACACGTGAAGACTTTTCTTAGAAGTCATCCCGTTTAAGAGGCAGGTGGAGGGGGGGGGGGGGGTTGCTCCTTGCCGCTCCCTGTCCTCAGTGCTGTAGGAATCACACTGAGATTCTTCCATCAGTTGTGTCAAGGGACACTGTTTGATTCTGTCAATTCTGAAATTCTTACATCTGTTCTCTGAGTCGGGCACTGTTGTTACCCCCATTTCAAGCCCTGTGTCCTTCAGTAAAGGCTTTGTTCCATGTGTCATTGTGTCAGCTCTCACACTCCATCCAGTCCTTCCTGAGGCACAAGCTGCTGGTCGCTGACTGGCCTCTCCGGGCTCTCAAGAGGAGCGAACTGGAGGGCAGCTGAAGACGGCCAGCAGCCAGTGTATACTTACACGCTGACCTGACCTTCAGCCATCAAAGAAATTCAGAAGGCGGCCAGGGAATCTCTTGTTTGATTCCAAATGTTCCTCTCTTTCATTTCGGCACCATATGAAGCCTTTCTCAGGACAACCTAGGGCAGGAGGCAGAGAATTTGGTGGAGCTTTGCATGTGGACACAGGTGTCTTTGGAAATGAACAGTCCCCCTCCAACAGGCTTCCGTAGGCTGAAGAAGAAAACCCTAAATAAAAATGCTCAAGGCAAGTCATCTTAATAGAAGATTTTTTTCAATATTATTTTGTATTAGTTTTAAGTGTACAGCATAGTGGTTAGACAATCATATACTCTACAAAGTGACCCCCCACCTGATATTTCCAGTACCCACCATGCACCATCATAGTTATTAAAGTATTATTGACAGTATCTAGAGGCCCAGTGCACAAAATTCGTGCACTGGAGGGGGGAGGAGATCCTTCAGCCTGGCCTACGCCCTCTTGCAATCCGGGACCCCTTGGGGGATGTCTGCCTGCTGGCTTGTGGCTGGATGGTCTTCTGCTGCTGCACAACCTGCTGCTTGAGCTTCAGCAGCTGCTGTATGTGCATGGGCTGGGCCACCATGGTCTGTCCTGTGAACACCATTGAGAGGTTGAGTCAAGTGTGGAGGCAGGCTCACCCTGAGTTTCCTGTGCTTCCCTGAGTCACTGAGTTGTTCAGACTGACTGCCTTCTACAGAGAACGGCAGGGGAATCAGGCCTAAGCCGGCAGTCGGATATCCCTCTCGCAGTCTGAGACCCCTTGGGGGATGTAGCAGTGCGCCAGGCAGCAGGTGGCCAGGGAGGAGCCTGAATCGGGGCCCAGCACTGTGCTACTCATGCTCATCCCGGCTCACTTAGCCTGCTGCCGCTGCTCAGTAGTGCTGCCCAGAGTCGGGAGAGGCTCCCGCTTTGGCAGCTGCGCTCACCAGCCATGAGCCCAGCTTCTGGCTGAGTGGTGCTCCCCCTGTGGGAGCGCACTGACTACCAGGGGGCAGCTCCTGCGTTGAGCGTCTGCCCCCTGGTGGTCAGTGTGCATCTTAGCAATTGGTTGTTCCGGTTGTTCTGCCATAACGGTCGCTTAGGCTTTTCTATTTATAGATATTTATAGATAGATTGCCTATGCTGTTTTTTACATCTGTGGACATTGTGACTTGCTTCCCATCACCTCCTGTTTTACCCCCAGGTTTCTCCATCTCAGACAAGTGCCCCCTCATCCATTCTCCCAGGTGCTTGAGCCAAAACCAAAAACAAAACTGGGAGTGAGGCATCACCACTCCGTTATCCCAATCCTGTCCACTCTTCCACCAAAATATATCCTCAGTCCTCCCACTTCTCTCCCCCTCTTCCTCCAGCACTTAAGTCCAGCCACCATGGTTCCCAGTAGCCCCCTAATGTTATTGTCTACAATCTATTTTCTTGCATGGCTGCCAGAATACTTATTATCACTAAAGCCAGATCACATCACTCACTTGTTTTCTCGCCTCCCAATCATGAGGACACAAAAACTCAGAACTCATTCAAAATAACTTAACTCTGGTGTGGCTTAGGGACATAATGGGGCCATGGTAGACAAGATGCAATGTGTAGAGGGAGGAATAGTGAGTATTAATGTGGCTGCACCTAGGCGATGCCACCTTTCCCTTTTCTATTCTTGCTGGAGGCCAGCTGGAGTAGCACAGGGCTCAGGGAAATGGGGGTAGCTTCTAGCCAAGCTTTATGCTAAAAGACCCTCTGGCTTATACAGAGCCAGGCCCAGCTCAGCGCTCTAGGTGGAACGGGTATATGGGGCTGGAAATATGCTCTCTCATGGGGAGGTATTCAGATTTATGAATTTCTAGTTCCGTCTGCCTTTTTAAGAGATCAGATGCTAATAATAGATGATACTCATTATTGTGTTTCTTTTCTATAGCCCCAGCAAATCACATAATTATTGAGCATTTGCATGCCAGGGACATGCTGGGATACAGAAATGAAGAAGGCACATTGTCTTTGTACTCAAAAGAGTCCACTGAAAAAGAATAGAGAATCAAACAGACAAATAATTTTGTAACATGATAGACTCCATAGTAGGAATACATCCTTGTTGCCATGGGAATGAATAGAATGTAGCTTAGGAGAACTCAAAAGCTCAGTCTTAAAGGATGGCAAGTCTTGGGAGGTCAGGGTGAGATGGGCTTTATAGGTATGGGACATATATCTTGCTTAGCTAGCGGTTGACAAGCCTCTAGAGTTAGGGTGAGAAGTAAATGTCATATGTCAAGTTTGAGGCCATAGGCAGTGAGCAGGAGAAAGTGCTCAGATCTACTAGAGCTGTTCACTACCACCAGTGCTGAAGTAAAGAGGTTTGGATTGTGAGCCCCATATTGTCATCCAGCATTTTAGGACTAGGATTCATTCATTCATTCATTCATTCATTCATTTATTTCTTCACTCACAGTCACTACAGTGCTTATTTTGGGGGGAGCGATAGGGATATTTTAGTACCACTCTTTCCTCCATGTCACTTAATTCTTTGGCCCCTGAAGTTTGAGGACTCCTGAAAAAATAATTAATGATGTAAGCTTTGTACTCATGCAGACCCAGGTTCCAATCTCAGTTCTGTTAATGACCAGTTGTTTGACCTTGGACAAAACACTCTATACCTCTGAGCTTCAGTTCACTGCCCATTGTGAAAGACTCTGATAGCATTTACCTCCATAACTGGAGGAGTAAATGAGCAAGTCTTGGTGATGTGCTGGGCATGGTGCATGGCCCATGTCTCCCTCCCTCTCTCCACCCCATAAAGCTCCCAGCTCATGATCTTGCTCCTGGTAGTGGTGCTTTAAAAAATCACTGGTTCACCGGGCTTAGTTTGAATGGGAAATGTCATTTGTTCAGCTCCCCCTGAATGCAGCCCAAATTCCTGCTCTGCTGCCACTTCTAATATCCTTTTCTTTGTGATGCAGATGCTTTTTTAAGCCCGAGAATTTATCACTTAAAACATACTTTCAAGAGAAAACATAAATACCTCTTGAATCATTCTGAAAGCAGTGATGACTAGGTCAAATTCAGAAGAAAAGTAAAAGGAAATTATGAATGGTCTTTGAGTCTTTCTGATGTTCTTCAGATGGAAAAAATATGGCCTGAGTAGAGACTGCAGAAGATGCATAGTAAGTCATCCAGGTCAAGGGACATCCAGAAAGAATTGTGATTTGAATTCAGAAGAAAAATATTTTTGTAGCTTCTATGGTCATAGGCTGAAATCATACAAAATTATAATACTTTGCTTGATATTAGGTGGTAGAGACTAAAACTAAGGACATTTTGAACTAATTTATTTGCATTAATAAAATAATTGAATTAATACTACCACCTCCCTATGTTAATAGAAAAGAACACAATTAAGTGAAAACACATGTGGGATAATGTCATTTTCAGGGCAATAACAATCTTTAGAGACATCAGATGTCTCATAAAAATTAGTATTTAATTTGAGTGTTTACTCATTATAGAAATATTTATGCCAATTGTAGTGAATTTGGAAGCTGATAAAAATTCACAAATAAAACAATAAAAATTGTCCTTAAGCCTACCATTCAGAGAAAATAATAGTTAATTAATATTTTGGGGTCCATTAAGTGAACAGTGTCCACTATTATTAACATTGCTACAGTCAAATTATAATCAGAACCTACAAGTGTGGGATCTGTTAAAGGTGAAGGAGTCATAAATTATTAGGTTAAGAGGAGACCTAAGCTGTGATCAATCCAAACTTTAACTCAGTAATTAATCTGTAATTAATATAAATGATGGAACTGAAAACTAGAGATTTTGCCTAGACTTGTAAGCTAGAGAGCCCCTCAGCTGAGAAATACACTTATCTTCAAATGGTCCCCGGGTTTCCCTAACTCCACCTCCATCATTTTCCACAGGAAGTTGGGCACTTTCTGAACACGCGATGGCGGGCACTTACTCTCCACTGTGATTCAGGTTGTCATAGCGCAGGAAGAGGCCTGAGTAGATGGTCTCGGTCAGCAGGGCGTAGATGGCGATCATAATGAGCAGCACGGCCAGCTTCAGGACAGAGTTGAGTCGGAGGAAAACCGCACAGGTCACCATGGCCAGCACGCCCGTGAAGACGAAGTACTGGAAGCAGAGAATGTAGGTGGTCAGGCTCAGTGGGAAGGTGGGGGTTCACTCTCCCACTCACGGATGCCAATAGGTCTCCTTGTACAGATGTTCGCTGAGCGTCTCCATTTGGAGGTCTCAGCCATCCTCAATTCAGCAGCTCCACATTGAACTCATCATTTCATTACCACCTCCCCAAGACTCTGTTCCCTGTTTTTTTGGGGGGGGACTTTACACACCATCCCTTAAGCCAGAAACCTTGATCTCATCTTTGTGCCTTCCTTTTCCCCACATTCCACAGCCAGGTCGTCCTAAGTTAGAATCCACTTCCTCCCTGGATCTCGCATCCAGCCAGCTTTCTCCTGCCACCTGCTTCTGTTTAGTTCTCACCTACAGTTTTGGAACAGTGTTCTGGCAGCTTCGCCTGCTTCCTGCCCCCAGGCCCCCCGGATGCAGACTGTCATTCTACCCCGTGTTTCTAAAGCACAGACCGGATCATGTCACTCCTTAACTTGAAGCCCTTTTATTGCTCCCCATTCCTTCCAAGTCTCTTCTCCTTTCTGAACAGCAAAGCTCTCCAGGCCATCCTACAGCGGATGCCCTTGCACTTTCCAAACCCCGATGTGTGGCCCAGCCTCACTGCCAACCAGCTGTTCGCCTGCTCTCCCAGGCCTCAGTGCTCTGTACTCCCTGTGTGCTGTCGCTCAAATCTCATCCGGGCGACCGAGCCTAACTCCTCGACAAACTCAGTGTCCTCTCTGAGAAGCTTTCCTGCACATCTCCAGGTGCTTCTGGATACGGCCTCATTCCTGCACAGCGCCCTTTCTAGCCCAGCGTAACATCTGTCACCTGTATTAGAAATGGCTGTTCAAATGGCCAGTTTAGAGCCACTCAATGGCTGGATGATTCCAGGGGCTCCCATCTATTAGTCTGCCCAGCCGGATTTCAGCTTCTGTAGGAAGCTCCTCAGTCTATTTCTCTGACAGAAGTATCCCAATAATCCATTTGGGATGGTTGGTTTAGATTCTGACTATTCAGTGGGGAAAAGAACCAGACCTGTGTCATCAAAGACCCACTTGGTGGCAGTACTTTGCTCTTTGTACCCACTTTCTCTTATCATTTTTAAAATAACATCAGTCAAGATGAGAATCATAATTTCCACTTTGCAGGTGAAGAAACGGAGGCTCACAGAGCTTAAGTAAATTGTTTAACTTCTCTTAGCTAGAAAGTGACACACGAACACCTCGATACGACCTGTCCTTGTAAAGGTGACTCTGGCAAGTACACTGGGCTTGGCCATTTCTAAAGTCCATTCCTGTCTTGCTATACTCGGCTCTTTATAACAACTTGTCTTTCCCCTCCTACTACATGGAGAGGCTATTTCTGTATGAGCCAAGGAGATAGGTAAGAATTTCCAGAAATTCCCCGAGAAACTACTGAACACATGTTTATTGACTTCTTAAAGCAGACTGACTCAGTCATGTATACTTGTCAGAAATGTTGATATCAAAAAAATGTGGACAGCACCCTGACTGAGTTCCCAATGGGGGCGATGGCCTCTGCCTTTAGGGTGCACGGGATGGACTCAGAAATGATCGACTGTCCCTGCTCTCAAGAAGCCCAGGGTCTGGGGCGTCCTTTATCCTCGTCTCTTCCTTTCCCAACCAACCCAGTTATGTCCTCATCTCAAATGGAGTGAATAAGCTTTCTTCACTTCTCCAAGGTCTTCCCTGGCCAGGTTAGCCGGGAACTCATTTTGATACATTTGTGCAGGAAGCTGCGAGTGAAGTGAGCAGGTGAGAAGTTCATTCTCAAGTGTGTTTTCTCCATCCAGAGAAACTTCCAAGATCTTCTATTTTCCCAAATGGAGGAAAGAGGAGTAGATCTGAGGGTCCCAAGTTCATTGTTACCTGCATCACGTGAAGGGTTGCCCATGGCTTTGCCAATGCCAGTTATGCGTCACTTACTAGGTCAAAAGTCATCAAAATGATCATGCCCTTAAGCAAAACGTTATTAAAAATTTTAAATGCAGTGAGTATTTATGGAGTGCCTGCTGTAGTCAAGGCATGGTGGTAGGTTCTGGGAATTCAAAGCTAAGAGGTAGCCAGGCCTAATATGTGAAGCAGGCACGGAAATGCCAACGGTACTTCACTGTGGAAAATGTTCTGGCAGCAGTGGGAGCTCATGTGATGGGGACATAGAGACAGGAGAAGTAAGAACTAAAATTATAATAGAAATAAATTAAAATAAATATTTACTGGGTATGCAGTCTGTGCCAGGTCCTCCATGAATGACCTTATACACTTCGTCTTATTTAATTTTTAAAATGGCCCAAGGACAGATGCTCGGGGTAATTCTTGCACACTGCCCAGCAAGGCCCTTCTGATGATGCTACACAATGCACCTGAATTACAAGGTTTTTCAGTCTGGCTGGCAGGGAGAAAAAACAAACAAAACAACCCCTTTCCAGCACTGTGTGAGCCCCAGGCACGGATCCTTCCAGACGGCTCTCCCCCAAGCACCAGGTGGTTCCCTCACCTGCACTGGTGGAACCCTTTGTGGATCTCTGGGTTCCTCTGTGCAGCTCTCTTCCCTCTGTCCTGCAAACTCTAGCCCCTTGGCCTCCCCAGACTCTCAGCTCTGTCTTCCCAAATCAGGTGCCACCTGGCTTTCCCCAGCCTGAGCCACAGCCTGAAAGCTGACCTACAGCAACCACACAGTGCAGGAACCACAGGGCTCATTCCATGGCTTCCAGCTTCTCTGGGGTCACTGTCTGATGCCCAGTTTGTTTGCTTTTAGTAGTTTCAGGTTCGAAGGTACAATATCTCTCTGCTACTTCATTTGAAATAGACCTCCCCTTCTACTTTATGCATTTTATTTTTTAAAAAATTTATCTTTATTGTTGAAAGTAATACAGATGTACCCTTTTCCCCCGTTGTCCCCTTCTAGCTGCCCCCCCCCCCAGCCCCAGGCCTTCACTACACTATCCCCCCATAGACACCCTCCAGCCCCCCTCCCCACCTCAGGCCCTCCCCACCCTATCGGCTGTGTCCATGGGCCATGCATAGTGCATACAAGTTCTTTGCTTGATCTCTCCCCACCCACCCACGCCTTCCCTCTGAGATTCATCAGTCTGTTCCATGCTTCTATGTCTCTGGATCTATTTTGTTCATCAGTTTATTTTGTTCATTAGATTCCACATATGAGTGAGACCATGTGATACTTGTCTTTCTCTGACTGGCTTATTTCGTGTTTTTTCTTTGTGTGTGTGTGTGTTTTTGTTTTTTTTGTTTTTTAGAAGAATTACTAAGCACACACTGTGGGCTCTGTCCCTTGAGTAATCTTGAATAACTATAAATATTGTCAGTTGTCCTCAAAGCAGTTTATAAATGTGACGGGCTGGGAAGAATGTTCTAGGCAGATAAACACATTGCAGAAAGGACGGAGTGTGAGTTCGAAGATGATGCCAGAGGGTCTGTGAAATGGCAGGAAGAGGTCTGAAGGGACTGAGTCCTCCAGAGAATGCCTTTTGGCAAAGGGGGGCTTGAAGGCTGGGTGGGACCCGAAAGCATGGGAAGGAAATGGGAGAAAAGCACCAGGATGAGAAGACACAGGTAATTACACTCCCGGGGGCCCTATAAAATGACAGACAGCTCCGAATGCTCTCGCAATATAGCTAGCTGTTTATCCGGATCTGCCGGAGCCTGTAATCAAGGGCCTGCTTTCTAAGATGGTCTTCCCATCAAACCGCCTGAGAACTGCCTTCAGGCGCCTGAGATAATGACATGGTGGGTTTGTGCATGTGATTTGCATTCACTTTGCAGACCTGTGTCTCTCTGCTGCCCCCTCGGCTACTTCTCCACTCACAGTTGACACATGGCTTTCTTGGCTGTCATTTCCTGCATCTTCACTTCTTTTTCAGTAATTGGCAAGCTACAGTTCAGAACGAAATTCTACTTTGCACTATAATTGCAACAACCTCTTGTTTATATCACATCATCCAGTTTAATAACACGCCTTTGGACTGAGTATCATTTCTCATGGGATCAGAGGTCAGAGACAAAGATGAGGAAACAGTGCTCAGAGAGATGAAGCGATTTGCTTGGGGACACACTTGTGAGGGGTGGGAAGGGTTGTGTAGATGAAGCCTTTTAGAAGGTCTGAATGTCTGATTCCTTCCAGTTTGCTAGACAAATCCTTACGTAGGGAGCCATGGCCACAGACATCAGGATGGCAAGTGGTGGGGCAAACTGGGTCGTCATAGTAGCTGGGGATGGACACAGCCCAGCTGCCCATCTTTTTGACCAGTGGGATTCCTGCACCAGAGAGAGATCAGTAGCTGGCATCAGTATATGGTCTCTAAAGAGCCAGGCCGTAAACATTGTTGGCCTAGTGGACCACACCATCTCTGTTGTGATTACTCAACTCTGCCATTGTCCTATAGAAGCAGCCATAGAAAATTGGTAAGAAATGGGTGTGGCTGTGCCCATTTGTAAATTTTATTTACAAAACAGGTGGCTGGCAGAGTCTGGCCCTGAACAAGGTGATTCTTTGGTTGTGGGAGGACAGTATGAAACTCTGATTTGTTTATTTTATCTCACTTTTTAACATTCTTGTTTTTGAGTATGTTTCATAGTGCACATGATATGTCAGCACTGATACAGGTGTGTCACTTGTAGTAAACATGTATGGGCAGTGCAGGCTCAGAAGCTTGTACTAGAGGTGATAAATCAATCACAGCTGACATTTAATGAGCAGATCCTTTGGGTCAGGCATTGCTCTAAACATGTTACATGCATGAATTTACTTAATCCTCACAGCCACCCATGAGGAAGGGACTACTTTCACCCTCCCTTTACAGATAAAGAAACTGAGGCATAGAGATGAAGCTATGTGATCCAAAAGCCTACGTACCATGAGTGCTGTGGTCCTGAGTTTGGGAGTTCAGGTTTGGGGCCCAGAGTATGTAGTGTTGGTTTAAAATGGGTGAGGAACGTCTGGCCCAAGGACCGTATAAGGCCCACAAAATCATTTGGTCTGGCCCTGCCAAGGCATTAGGATTGAGTTAATTAAATGTTTAACCAAATATAGCAAGCTGATTTTTAAGTTCATAATTTTGTATGGCTTGCAAATGTTATAATATCCATATGGCCCTTGACAGAGAAAAGGTCCTCCCTCCCCCACCGCTGGTCTAGAATGACACGGAAGCCCAGATTAAATAGTTCATGAACATCCACTCATGTCAGACGTCATGTTAGAAATGCATCATTTCCTAGCTCCTCTAGGTAGTTGCCATGAGAACGTGCTGTTCCTTAATTCCACAATAGCCACGTGAAGAAGCTATTATTTTTCCCGCTGTACAGACAAGGAAGCTGAGGTTCAGAGAGAGTAAGAATTGATTCAAGATTCCTCTGCTAGCAAGTGAAGAGGCTCTGTTGGGAGTGAAATCCAGCTTCTGCCTAGCTCTAAATATCCGACTCTTGGCCAACTCACTGCCTCTTGGGTCCCTCCTTAAGTCCTCCAAATTCTTGGGGTGTTGGTGTCCCAAGGAGTCCATGACCTCAGAGCTCACTCATTACTTGGTGGAGGGAGTCCCAGAGCACGTGGTCTGTCCTGTGCAGCCTGATCTTCCTTAACATGAGCCTAGTTCTTCCCTAGGGATTGAGCCTGGGTTCAGACGTATGGGCTCAGGATATGCCAGACATGGTTTGCATTGCAGTAGCGAGTCTTGATAACTGAGATAGGAAGAGAAGGATGAAAAGAAGGAAGGACGGAAAGGAGTGAGGAAGAGTGGGAGTCAGGCAGGATTGGCACTGAGCAAGGTACTTTCTAAGCTTTCGTTTCATTATCTATAAAGTGGAGATGGTCACAGCCTCTTCCCCAGACATCTTGACTCAATGATGTTCTGCATATCAAGTAGATAGATGCTCTGCACCTGGGGAGCGGGGCAAGGCATTCTCTCCTTTGAAGACATTTCTCACACGCATTCTGGGGCCTAGGTGAGACACAGAGAGCCTTTCCTCCACCCACATAGTGGAGAGAGTCTGAGAGAACAAGAGTCCGCTCAGCATCCTGAGAGTATGGCATTGGCTGGGGTCTGCTGGGACCCCCAGCTATCCTCCCTCTCGGCCCAGGACTTCTGTCCTAACGTGTAAAGGTCTAGGCTATGACTAGTGGAGCCTAAGCTTGTCCTTTGCCCGGCCCCGTAGGTTGACCCTGATACCCAGGACCACACCAGTGGCTCTGTCACCAAGAGAGGGTCAGACTTATATTACGATGGTGAGTGTGATGTCGGGACACCTCCTGACCCTTTCTGCACCTCCATGCACTGTCTACACCACTTTTATTTAAGTTTAGTTGTGTTCTGCTTTTGTGAGTCACTAGCTCCTTGTTCCTCTCTCCCTCCCTTCCTTCCTCCCTTCCTTCCTCCCTTCCTCCCTCCCTTCCTTCCTTTGTTCCTTCTTTCCTTCTTTCCTCCCCTTCCCTTTCTTCCTCCCTTTCTTCTTCCTCCTTCTTCCTCCCTCCCTTCTTTCCTTCTTCCTTCCTTCCTTCCTTCCTTCCTTCCATCCATCCATCCATCTTTCCTGCTTTCCTTTCCCAATACAGCAAACACCCTTTGAGCAATAACTCTGTGCTCTGTCTTCTATTAATGACCGGGCACCTCTGCTTTAGGATCTTAAGATGAGTCGGTGGAATTGAATAGGGGAGGAGGAGACAGAGGGGAAGAGAGAAATGCGTAGAGGGAAAGGTGAAGGAAGACATGGAGGAGAAGGAAGAGGAAGAGAGACATGGGGAAAGGGCAGCAATGGGAAAGAGGCGGAGGAGGGAGCAGGAAGAGAAAGGGGACAGCAGAGGAGACAAGGAGAGAAGGGAAGGCAGAGAAGGGGAAGAAGGACAAAGAAGGAGGAAGAGGCAGAAGAAGGAAACAGGCCTCCGGGTGCCCTTGGAGGCCCTTCCCCAGTCCTGCTTGGTTGGAGCTGGTGGAGATGTCTAGGCCCAGGTCTTGCCCAGGGGGCTTGTGAATAAATACCTCTGGGTAGGAGCAGATATCTGTAAACACAGCTGAGGAATTGAAAGTCAGGTTCTTCAAGGGTATCGACTTGTCAAAATCACACCACAGCTGCGGATTAAAAAAAAAAAAAGAACAACAACAAAAAAACAAAAAACACAGGAACAACAAAGTCAGTGTGAGTGCTGGAAAAGGCGTCCTGTGCTATGGGCGCTGGGCTTCAGCAAGAGCCTGGGGCGGACCAGGCCCGAGGGGCATCACTGTGCCTGGCAGTGCCAGCGGGGTCTTCTCTTTCACTTTACAGAAGGCACTGGCTCAGAAGGGCATTGGCAACCCAGTGAGGACAGCGGGGAAGACTGCTCGGTGGCCCCATCACGGAGGGTCACCGGAGTGTGCCTGGGGCTCAGAAGAGAGCGCTGGATGGCAGGAGGCCTGGGTGTGCTCACAGCCTGTCTCCACCTCAGCAGCTGGGAGGTGTTAAGGGACCCGGGGGGCACATGCTCCATACAGACTCTTAGCACTGGGGTGGTGGGAAATTCGGAGCCCAGACATTTTGCAGGTGATGTTCATGGCACTCAGAAAAGAACAGCTACCATTGGCTGAATACCTCCTCTGTGCCAGACACTTTGTACAAAATCTCCCTCACAATCCCCGTGTGATGCTGCTGCTCTTTTTATCCCCATTTACAACTGAAAAATAGGAAACTCTGAGAAGGAAAGTAACTTGTCCAGGGTCACCGAGCTGATAAGCGGTGGAGCTTAGATTTGAACGCAGGTCTATCTGACTCCAACGCCTCAGAACCTCCACCCACACCACTGTGGCATGGCTGGCCCCAAGGGTAAGCCTGACCTTGAGTCTCTGGACTGATTGCCCAATTCTGCACCCCAGAGGTATCTGATTTGTCAAGACTAAGGTCCCAGCTACAACTCTGCATGGTGTGATCAATGGTCCTATGCACGTCCACGTTCAAGTACCACAATCTCACATCAAATACTCATGTGACGCTGAATTTAATTAGACTATGATTCCCCTTTTCTTTATTCCATCGAGTCCTTTACTTCAAGGCCGGCCATAGAGCTTGAGCAGCATAGACTCTAAGTAAATACTAGGCCAACTTGCACAATACATTTCAGGTCATATAATCCTCTACTCATTTTCCTCATTCCTCTGTCTCCTCCTCACCTATTCATTTCCCCCAGCTCATCTTAAAATCCTAAAGCAGGTATGTCCACGCCTGAACTCCTGGATGCCCTCCTCAGACTCAAGGGGCCTGGTGATGGTTTCAGCCACCAGATGACGCCTCCACTAGCCTTTCTCCACATGCCAAGTTCAAACCCTGGGATCAGACAAACCACTCCTACCATAGACAACCCAGGCTGCTTGTATTTACACAGACAATGCTTACAGCTATCGTTACCATTCTAGAGAGAAAATGAAATCATTGACACATGGGTCACCAAACTAAAAACAATGATAAATATGGCAGTTGGAGATTCATTGGAGTTCGATGTGTCACATCCAATAGGAGCTTTTAGAAAACCACAGGCAAGATGCTTAACCTTCCTGAGATGCGGTTTCCTCATCCATTAGGTGGGAACGGTAATACCTACCTGTAGCCCACAGTGGATGCTCAGTAAACGACAGCTACTGATCCCCATGGCCCCGCTCCCATCCCCAGAGATACCAGTCAGCAGATGAGAATGAGCATGAGTCATGGAGTCAGACAGACCGTATTAACAAGTTATTTCATGTCTCTGAGCCTCAGTTTCCTCAGCCATAAAGTGGGGATAATGAGACTTACCTCACGGGGTTTAGTGAGGATTAAATACGAAAACCGCACTGTGCACGGCTCCTCCTTCAGTGCATGGCACACAGCAGGGGGTACTTCCTACACGGTGCCTGACTGACCACTGCCGTGGAGTAGCCAGTGACAGGGCAGGAACTGCAGGGAGGCTGGAGGCCTTTGCAGCACAAAACTTCTCCCGCTGGAACTGCCCAGTGAAATGCCCGGTTCTGGCAGTAGCCGCACCGTGGTGCTCTGTCCCTAAGCTTGGGGCTGGACCAGGCACACGAAGGTAACTGGTGTGGAGGGAGGCAATGCAAGACGCTGCAGCAGCTCCACAAACCCTGGGCCCCCGAGAGCATCCCGGACACTGGAGGGAGGGCGGGCCTGGGATGCTTACGATATTGAGGATGGCGCCCAGGAAATTGATCAGGATGGATGCGAAGATGATGACGTTCCGGGCCAAATAGGTCTCGTTGATCCAGCAGCAAGTCTTCCGCAGGACGAGTGGTAAACACTTGTAATCCTCCGCCGTGGTGATGAGGACCAGAGCCGCATGCAGCATGATCAGGATGGAGAACTGGATGGCCATTGGCATAGCCCTGCAGGGAAACACAGCTGGGTTACGGGCTTCCATCCTCTTATTTCCCATTGGCTGGGTGATGCTGTCAGTCACATGCATGATCGCCCTTCCCACCTCTTGGTTCCAATAATTCCTCTAAATCTCTACTGGTTTTTAGAAACAGGCTATGGCAGGAAACATTTATTGTATTCATTCTTTTTAAAAAATATATTTTCATTGATTTCAGAGAGATAGGAAGAGATATAAACATCGATGAGAGAGAATCATTAATTAGCTGCCTCCTGCACACCCTCACACTGGGGATTGAGCGGGCAACCCAGGCATGTGCCCTGACCAGGAATCCAACCCTGACTTCCTGGTTCATAGGTCAGCGCTCAGCCACTAAGTCATGCCAGTTGGGCTTATATTATCTGTTCTTAGCATATTCTTTTGATTGAGAAACTTTGCAATGAACATCAGCCATTTGGCTTGATGTGGCACTGCTGCTCAATTTCTGCACTTCCTTTGTTATTCATCTTTCTCACTAGGCCAGCGGCTGCCAAGGCAACAGGACACTGGGATCTTATCTCACAACTCTGGCTGTGGGAGGGACCCACACGCCCTTTCCCCTTCAAGGCAGGTTTTATAAAACACGTTCCCTCTCCATCTGCTCCGATGCCAAGAACCGAACCTGGCACCTGGTCCAAGTTGCTCAGCTTGGTGAGTGATCACCAAGGTTTGCATGTCGTGTGCTGTGTGCCATGTAGTACATGGGTGAGGATACAGTTGAGACGTGAGTACAATCCTTGAGATGTGAATACATCCTTGCCCACGGCTTCAACATCACTCCCAACTCTACATCCTGAGCTCAAGCTCTCACCAAAGCTCTTGCCATGGTAGTTTCTGTCTAGTGGGTACCTCTGCTGGGTGTCAGGCTGCTCCTAGCGACTCAGTTTATCTAAAACCCCATCTCTGGAGGTGTCTTTGACTGCTTCCTCTCCGTGGCAAAGGCAACTTAGGGAATGTGGTCCAAAGGGCAGGGTAATGGGGGTACAGGGCATCATGACAACCGGGGGTAAGGCCTTTACAAGAAGGGAGTAGCCAGACCTCAGCTGCCTCTGCCCGGCCAGCATCAGAGAGGCTGGGAAGTGATGCTCCAGCCCAGCTCTCCCTGTGGGAGGTTTTGTTTTTTTCATTCTTTTTAAATACGGCACAGTTTTGATATTTGGACTACCCTGGCAGGGAATCTGCAGGAGTTTTAGGTAAGAATGGAAGGTCTGTGCGGCAGTGGGTTCCCAGAGGGCTCCAGGCAGATGGGAAATTCCCCCCAAACCCGCTGGTAACACACCATTCGTCCTGGGCCCCAGGGGCAGGTGATGAAGGAGAAAGCCGGTGGATGGCTGTGTCAGGCCGTCCCAGGAGAGAGGACGTCCAAGGCTATTGTGTCTCATCATGTGAGGCAGCCACGGAGAATATGAACATCTTGTGTTAAGCCAACCAGGCAAAGGTGGTTAGAGAGCTGCCCAGTTCTGTGGCCTCTTGCTGCCAGCATCTGAAGTCTCTGTGGGTTGCCTTTCCTCTCTGTCTCTCTCATCTCTCTGCCCCTCCCCTTCCCATCCATAGGCAACAGTCAAGCCCAGGCCCTCGGTGCTGAGCGCAGTCTGCCTGCTTTCCCCCAGCGCGCTGGGGCTCCCTCTCCTGGGGGAACGCCTGCTCGGCCTCCAAGCTTCAGCTTTTCTCTGGACTCTTCCCTGACCTCCCCCCCCTCTCCCGCATAGGGTGAGAACATGGACAGCGCTCAATAAACACTCACTGACGGAGCTTCCAGTGGGGAGCCGAGGCTGTTCCTCCCCTCGCCAGCCTTCAGGGGAAGAGTTCCACCCACCCTCCCAGCCCCTCTGGCTACCCCCCTGCTGCCTCCTCCTTCCTCCTGAAAGACAAGGTCCCCGTTAAATGTCAGTGTGCACGCGAATTCAGACGCAGGTCCCCTCCTCCTCCTAGACCAGTGGTCGGCAAACTCATTAGTCAACAGAGCCAAGTATCAACAGTACAACGATTGAAATTTCTTTTGAGAGCCAAATTTTTTAAACTTAAACAATATAGGTAGGTACATTGTTATTAACTTAATTAGGGTACTCCTAAGGCTTAGGAAGAGCCACATTCAAGGGGCCGAAGAGCCGCATGTGGCTCGCGAGCCGCAGTTTGCCGACCACTGTGACCTAGACGCACTGGGAGGGCCCGAAAGCCACAGCCTTGACCTCCCCTGTGGGAAGAAGTCTGGTCATCTCTTCTCTTTGCCATCTCTCCCCAGGCAGGGAACTCAGGTCGCCCCAGGAAATCCCATTCCCTTCATTCGTTGGCATTGGGGTGGGTGGGCAGGGGTGCCTTGCATTGACCTTTCCCACCATCACAGCAGGGAGACCCCACATTGGAATTGGAGGGGAGAATGGAGAGGCAGAGATCGAACTGAGAGATTCGGAGCAAACACCACGTGCTCTCCTCTCCTGGTTGTAACCACATTCTGCGTTCCAGCTTTTACCATCGCTCTGCTTCAGCAAAGCCAGCGCTGTCTTGGAACTTTATGAAGCGGATGCTTTGTTGCCCACGTAGCTATTGTGCTTTCGTGTATACTTTGGTGGGGTGTCAGGTGTACTGGAGGGCTGTGCGCTGTATTTACCTAGAGAACCACCTGAGTGAGTCCCTAACAGAGTTTTAAGCGATCAGCACTTCCTGCTGGGCTTGCTGAATAAAGGAAAGGGAGGTGCTATGGACTGAATGTTTGTGTTCCCCAAAGTTGGTATGTTGAATCCTGTAGCCCAATGTGATGGTGTTTAAGTTGAGGCCTTTGAGAGGTGATTAGGTCATGAAGGTGGAGCCCTCAGCAATGGGGTTAGTGCCCTTAAAAGGAGAGCTCCCTTGTCCCTTCTGCCAGGAGCGTGTGGAAGATGCAGATAGCTCTGTGTAAACCAGGAAGAGAGACCTCACCAGACACTGGATCAGCCAGCACAGCACTTGACCTTGGACTTCCAGCCTCCAGATTGTGGGAGACAAATTTCTAGTGTTTATAAGCTGCCCAGTCTGTGGCATTTTTTAAAATAACAGCCTGAACCGACTAAGACAGGAGGTGAGAGGCAGGTATATGGTCCCGCAGCAAGAGCTAAGCCTTAGGCAAGGTAACTCACTCTTCTGAGTATAAATTTTCAAGGTGCAAAACTGGGTTTTTTTAAGCTCACCTCTTAAAGGAGGTTCAGCTGCTAAAGCAGTGAAATGGTTTGCGCATAAGAACTCAAAGAAAGGTTATTCTGTGTCTCTGTTCGTGGTGAAATTCAGGAAACCAAAGGCGGTTTCAGGATCTATGGGAAGAGGATTAGTGACAATACAGGCTTCCTACTCGAGGCACTAGCATTGCATGTTAAATGCCTCTGGAGGAAACCTTTCATTTCTGAAACTGAGTCTGAAAAGGAATGACAAGGGATGTGCAAACAGCTCTGTCCAAATCCTTCCTCGACACCGTGTTCTAATTGCTCTCTGCATTCTGTCTGTAAACAGGCCTGGGTTAGTATCACGATCGGATGTTTGCTGGGGAGGCAGGCATCGGTGGGGATGAGTGGACATCCTATAGCTGTTGTGGTCCAGTGGGAAACAGAGACCCAGGTGGTACTGATCCGTGACATTCGTACACCCTTTAGAGCCTGCAAAGAGCCTAGGAGGCCAAGGCTCCCTTGATCCTATTAGCAACCCTGTGAGGAAGGCATTCTTAGCCACTTCAATGGATGGAAACTATGGCCCAGAAAGGGGAATGGGGCCAGAATTGATCAAATGGCTCATTAAGTTCGGACATCAACCCTGGGACGTTGGCACTGTTACTCCCCTTTTATAGAGGAGAAAACCGATTGAGCTGTTATACTCACTTGCTGCCTTCATGGGTGATGTCACATACGAGGGAGGCCTATTTGGATTTTGATCCTTGTGTTTGTTAAGATTGGGGGAAGGCCTCTGGCCTTGGCAGAAGGATGAGCTTATAAGCAGAGGAAGACCACAGAAAAGACACTGATATTGCCACCCATGCGTCCTGGATCCCGGGATTTTAAATTCTGACCCCTTGCAAAGGTCGGCTGGCTGTCCCAGGCCAGGGACCATCGGCTCTCGAAGAGCTCTCCCCTGCCCACCGTGTCCTTGCGCATTTACCTTGAAGAAGGAAGCAAGCTCTGTATTGCCGTGATAAACAGAAGAACGATGAACGCACACACCAAGTTTGACTTGAACACTTCGTCCCTCATTTGAGAATACTGTGATTAAAAAAGAAGGAGAAATTACTTTCTAGCACAGTTGGGTGTTTGCAAGAGTTCAGTTTCACCAGTGTTTGGAGTTGGGGCGGGGGAAACAGCAAGAAGAGACAAAGCAATAAAGATTTTTTAAAAAAAATTAAGAGGAATCCATCTCTTAGGAAACCCTTCACCAAGGATTGTCTCCCCCCTCCCCCCAGCCTCTCGCTGAGAGCCCAGGAGGAAATAAATTCCCTTCCCAGGCACAGGGCCTGGGAGGGGGACTTGGCTTGAGCTTGTCCCTTTCTTCTCCCACCGAACTAGCATCATTTTAACAAAACAGAAGAGCACACACCCATATATTTAGCAAATCAAATTCACACTGACTTTCTTCATGAGCAAACTTAAGTCCCTTAAGGATCTTGCTCGATTTCTTGTTTGGTTTGGGAACACAGGGGAAATGTGTTACCCAGAGAGAGTCTTTCTGCCTCTTTTTTTCATAAAACTATTTCATAAAATAAATCCACAGGCTCTTAGAACAGAAAGTAGCCTCAGAGACCCCCAGCAAAGACAGCCCTTAATTTTTTTCAATCCTTTGCAACTTCCTTATTTAAAAAAAATTTTTTTTTCAATAGTAGCTTTGATAGTTTATTGATTTCTTTCTAAAAGTAACCTTTTTTTTTCTTGATCGCAGAGTAATTATACAATTAACTAGTGTTGGAAAATATAGAAAAACATATGCACAAAAATACTTATACTGTCAGTACCCCAGAAATAGCACTTACTAACATTTTGGCTTATAACTTTTTTGTCATTTTTTTCTTTTGTTAAAAAAATTGCATTGAGGATCCGTTTTTATAAAATTAACCTACATTTAAATGGAAAAAGGGCAGCCCTTTTATTTCACGCGAGAGAAACCAAGACTGATGGACCCGTAAGCTGGATGCCCTCTGTGTCTGCTGCAGGCAGCCCCGGGGAATGGCGCTGACTTGATTTTGATTATCCAGAGAACTCGGTAATCTCATTACCCAGCCTTAAAAGCTTCCGGAAGGTCGGCGCTCAATGGCCAAGTCCTGCCTGGTTTCCAGATTCACCTTGGAGTCATTAAATGGAAGAATAATCCAGTCCCCTCAGCAAGAGGAAAGGAGTTTTTTTTTGTTGTTTTTTTAAAAATATATTTTATTGATTTTTTTACAGAGAGGAAGGGAGAGGGATAGAGAGTTAGAAACATCGATCAGCTGCCTCTTGCACACCCCCTACTGGGGATGTGCCCGCAACCAAGGTACATGCCCTTGACCAGAATCGAACCTGGGACCCTTCAGTCCACAGTCCGACACTCTATCCACTGAGCCAAACTGTTTAGGGCGGAAAGGAGTTTTTAAAACAGAAAAAGACCTTGGAATTGGCCTAAACCAAGCTTCTCCTTTTACTAGTACCTTCATGCCAGAGAGGTCTAGTAACTTGCCATGGATCACACAGCATACAGATCATGTTCAGCGGGGAAGGGGAGGCAGCAGAGGGAGGGGACGGGAAGCTAAGCCTGGCTTTAGAACCTTGTAACCCCTGATGTGAATTTCACAGAGTTGCTTTATGAAGGAAGCCAGGACATCGAGCTCTCACTGTTGTGAGCTCAGTCTCTGTCCCCAACAGAGAGGTGACCATCACCTTCTCTTGGCGGTCATGCCAAAGAAACCATACCTCTTGGTGGTATGGTAGTCATAGCCAACAGTTACATGATTTTTGTTCTCTTGCCTGCTTCTTGGTGTGGTCTGGGTTTCAGATCAAACTTGCTGCTCATTGTCACGGCTAAGATTCAGGGAGGGCAGTGGCCTGCAGCTGGTGAGCTCCGTGGAGCTCACTGCTCAGAGGGGGCTGGGCAATGCTTTTTCACTCCCCAGACCTCAGGCCTCTGTCCATGTTCAGATAGCTTGCTTGGTATCCAGAGAGAACCAGAACATGCTCCGAAGAATCACTGTAAGCCATCGTGACTCCTGGCAACGCCATAGAAAATCCATGCTACTAATAATCACAAAAGTGCTTTCAATGAAAGGGGCACAATCATAGAGACCCACACACACCAGCTTGAAAATAAAGGAGTTAGCCACAGAGCAGTTAATTCAAAGGAAGATACATGTCTCAATTCCTCTTAACAATGAATTGCACAAGATGGACTTATTCTTTGTTGGCTGACTGATTAATTTCAAACTGGTTTGGCTATATAGATTTGATCTTGAAAATTTTAAAACAATACTTTTTAGTGTACTTAATCCCTCTCTTCCTCCTTTTCTTCATCTTCACCATTATCATCATCATCATTGTCATTGTCATTAACTCATTACTATCACTGTCACAGCATCTTGGAGTTGTAATGGGCCTCTGCCTTCAGGAATCCTTTCCATAACACCCCTGATATGGACTCAAATGCCTACTGATATCTCCAGGCGACCTTCTCTGCTTTGGTGGAGGAAGTGGGCGTCTCTTCTCTGAGCTGGGGCAGGATGTCCTAGGTCTTGGAACACCCTCAACTTGAACACTCCCAGTGCCTGAGAGCTCACTCCTTTGCAAAGCGTTCTTTCCATTATTGGCCCATTCTCCCCATGAGAGGTCCTTATAGATACCATGCCTGAGTCTCTGACTCCTTTAAATTTTTCTTACTGATGACTTTCAAAATGTTACATGATCATGCGTCCAATCTACAGTTGCATCAGATCTTACGTTTTTCATTTTCTTCCCATGGCAAGCTGGGGAAGACAAAGTGGGAAGACTTACTTTGCCTCCAGATTTCCCCTGTCAGTGTCTCCCTGTGAGCAGTACCTGAGCCAGTTGTAAATGGGGTTCAGACCAATTAAAAGCGCATGGCACTTGGCATCAATTACAACGGCTTCCTTTGAGAGCGTAGATTAGAATTTGATTATTATTTTAGAATCTGTAGGGTTTTCAGGAACTGGCCAAAATGTAATATGAAAAGTTTGAGTGATAACGATTGATAATTAGGGAATTTAACCTCTGTTCTATTGTTTATTCATGCATTATGCACCCACTGCAAGGAGGCACTATGCTACATGCTTTACATGGATGATCTCATTTAATTATGACAACACTTTGAGGGAGATCCTATTTATCATATCCCCATTTTGCAGATAATGAAATTGAGGGTTAGGATAATCCAGTAACTCAACCAGGACTTTACAGATTATAAGTAGGGAATCCTGAGAGTTTGTTCCCCAGCCTGAGGTCTCATTGGCTGCCCCACCTGCTGCTATCTTGCTATTTTCAAGGACAGGTCATTTTCTTCACTGGGCACACAATAGTGTATCGTGACATATTTCAGTGATGTCGTTTATGAAAGTTTCTGACTTGATCAGATTGACAATAGGGTTCCCTTCCAAGGAAGTAAGAGGGGATGTTGGGGATGTTGGCCATGGATGCTCTTAGAAGGCATCTTCAGAGATGACATCAGAGCCTTGAGGATCTATGGGTTCATGGATCTGTCACAAGGAAGCCAGGAACACAGGTTTGATCACACAAGGAAAAGCCCGTCTGGATTCTTTACCCACAGAGGGATGGCCAGGGAAGCCAACCTACAGAGGTGATGGACAGAGTTTCTAGTCTTCTGTGCTTCTGTGTCTAAGACCACCCAGGAAATCTTCGTAGGTGTGTGGGAGGAAAATCACCCTCCATGCCTAGGTTCTCCCCTTCGCCTAGGACCATGGTCGGCAAACCGTGGCTCATGAGCCACATGCGGCTCTTTGGCCCCTTCAGTGTGGCTCTTCCACAAAATACCACATGCGGGCGCGCACGTACAGTGCGATTGAAACTTCGTGGCCCATGAGCAGAAGTCGGTATTTTGTGGAAGAGCCGGTATTTTGTGGAAGAGCCACACTGAAGGGGCCAAAGAGCCGCATGTGGCTCGAGAGCCGCGGTTTGCTGACCACGGGCCTAGGAGATAAAGAGTACTTACAACTCCACAAGATGTAGTGATGCTTCTAGCCAAAGCAGTTATCTCGTTAATGGTGCCACCTGCAGCCATACTTTTGTCCAAGTGTGCATGTGAGCTTACAGAATTTTATGGGTGGAGTGGATTGTACTTGTTGCCTTGGTCTAAACCTTCTTAATGCCGATTTCACTCAGTAAAATCTCACAGAAATGAGCCGTTAGCTCCTGCCTGCATATTTCCAATGATAGGGGAAATCAACCACTCACTTGAGAACCCATTTCATCTTTGGATAAATCTAGTTTGCTAGAGATAATTTCCTAGCATGTCTTTCATTAGCATAAATTAATATGTTTGTTAAATTAAAGAAGAATCTCAACAGGGACAATCCGCTCATTTTTCATGAGTAAATGAGGGAAGTTAACCTCATTGTATTGTGAATTCACGCATTACCGCAGTGCGGCAATGGCTGGAACCTCCTTAAATTGGACCATTTGGGTAAAAGGCATAATTGCAATAAAAATGCACAGGAATAATTTCGTATTTTGAAATAGACTGTCTTCCCTAGCTTAGTGTCTAGTGTCTAGCCAGAGTCGTTACCAGAGCGGTTCTATGAGTGACAGGTGTGCCTGAGGAAATCTCTCACGGCATACTTCTTTCTGAGTAACCTCGCTTTTGCACAAACGTGGATTTCCTCATGTTTGGTAGACTCACAAAGAAACACATTAACATGTATAAGATGGAGAGCCCCAGAAGTGTGAGGCTGGAAGGATCTCACCCCAGGGATAAAAGAAGACCCTTCATGGCAATATATTTCCTTATGCTGTGCTCTGCCTTGGGGGTGGGGTG